TTATCCTCTATGGTGGGATACTCGCATTGGCACATTGACGGTGTCTGGATCAGCGACAATTTCGTCATGTAGCAACGATAAGAAAGATTGGCATCCAAATTCTAAAAAAGAAGCTCTAGATTTGGTGCATATTCTGCTGCGTGTTCTTCTACATGTACCTACGCGCTCTGCTGCATCTTGGCCAACTGGAAATCCTCCATACCCTGTAGCCACGACGCTACTGTAAGACCTTCGGGGCAATACGAGCACACCACGCCCAGTGCACTCACGTCGTGCACGTTCTCCAAATCGTCGTCATTGAACAGCATGTCTTCAAACGCGATGCCGCTCTGCTCCTTCAGCTGCTTGAAATGCGTCGTTTTGCTGCCTGGGAAGATGGTGACGAAGTCTGCGATGTCTTCCAGCGTCTTCTTGATCATTTGCTCGACGTCTTTACCACGCAGCGTCACGTCCATCAGACCCAGAACCTTCTTCGCTGTCTCAATCTCTTCCATACGTGACGCCACGCCGATCTTCGTGTTACGGAACTGAGGGTCCGTCTTCAATACACTCAGCACTGCGTGAATCTCCGGGTAGAAGTGGACTTGCCAGCCAATGGCATCAGTGACGTCACCCGTGATGGGGTCCTTGGTGATCTTTTCGTTGTGCAACTCATCCATGGCCGGGAACCACATAGTGAAGTCGAGGTCAAAGACCACGAGTTGCGGAATGTAGGTCCATTTACGAAAGACCCGAGCAGCGAATTCGGGGTCTTTGCCCTCAGTAGAGCGGTTTTTATCCGGTGCGAGGTCTTTCGGCATACTTTTGACTTGGTTTTAGTTGCTTTGCTTTCAAAGTAAATTGAAGAATGGGGTTCTGTTTCCAAGAGCTGAGAAACTATGGCACTCTTTTGAAGGTCTCTTCTATCACCATAGAGGCTTATGCAGATGCCATAAGATCGCAAAATCTCTCGCCACATCATAATCGATTGCTCACACCATAAGGAACGGGGCGGATGGCGCGAGAATCACAGCCAACAGCACATGATGCAGCGTCGTCACAGCTGTGGTCTCATGTCCCCCGCCTCGTGGTGTTCGATTTCGACTACACGCTCTGGTGTCCGTGTTGAATGGCGGTCCGTTCACCAAGTCCGACGACCCAGGGACGGTCCTTGATCGCTATGGGGAGGGACTGCCAGAAGTGCAGAAGGGGCTCCACGCCCGCTTTTCTAAATCTGACAGATTAATTCTAAATCTGAAAATAAAATTAAATCTGAACAAACGATGTTACATGTGTGTACCATATTATTGGCACTTATTGATTTGGCGCGAGACTCACCAGGAAACAAGCCCGCTTTCCCGCCCAATTGAACACTTCCCCGTAACCACTACACTTCGTTTTAGTATACGAATTGAAAATACGCCCGCTACGGCCCCCACTGCCACACAGTTTAACTCATTTTGCAGTCTCTCTCCCCAGTCACAGGCAGCCTCAATCCATGTCAGCTCCAGCCCCCGAAGTCCCTACCCAGCCTCGTACGCCGTACCAGTACCACATCGAGGACTCCAGTCTTTTTGCTATGGACAGGGTGATGGAGGTCACATGTGATGAGCCCCGGTGTGTGTACTGGTGCATGGAGGTGGGGCTAATCGACAAGGCCAAGCACTGCCCCCTGTGTTTTCAGCCGATGCGCCTCTCCCTCGCGCGGAAGCGATGGCGCTGTTGCCGTCGCAAGCAGCATGCCGATGGAAAAGAGAATTCCATTGGTATGCTGACCAATTCCTTCTTCAACGACGCTAAGATTAAGCTGAGCAGCGCTGTCCGGCTCCTACTTGCGTGGTGCATGCGTCTACCACAGGCCAATGCGGCTGAGTTGGCTGGGGTGACGGAGGCGACGGTCCAAAACTGGTACGCATATTGCCGTGCAACATGCTCGAAAGAGCTACTCAAAGCTGATTTTAAGGTAATGTTGCTCTAATGTTGCTGTAATGTTGCTGTATCCACAGTATTTAACTTTTGTTGCGTGTATGTAGATTGGCGGCCAAGGCAAAGTTGTTGAAATTGACGAAACCAGCTTGGACAAGAAACAGAAGTATCGCCGCGGTCGGCGATACGAGGAATTCTGGCCTTTTGGAGGTGTAGAACGAGGTAGTGGGCGTTGGTTTGGGCGGTTTGTGTACGATAAACGCACAAAGGAGACTTTACTTCCCGTAATTAAGCGATTTATTAAGCCGGGGTACGTATTTAAATCTGCGTTACTACTTTCCGTTACTAACAAGTTTATTTTTGTGTGAGGCAGGACACATGTCATGTCAGATATGTTCGCTAGCTACGTCTGCGACCGAGGAGGAAAGCAGCACACACTGGAGAACAACAGGACTCTGCTTTCAATGAATTATTCTCATAGTTGGGTTAACCATTCCAAGAACTTTGTAGATCCCAACACAGGTACCCACACGAACACGATAGAGGGCCTGTGGGAGACCCGAATCAAAAGACACATCAAGTCAATGAGAGGCATGAAAAGAGATCAATTGGACTCCTACCTCGACGAGTATATGTGGCGCTCCTGGTTCTTTCCCCCAAGGCCCACTGCAGGACAGATCATGGGTGGTTTGGTTGTGGCAATAATTAGAAATGAATAAATCTAGTTCGTCAAATTAGGTCTTCTTTAATTTAGAAAATTATTTCTTAAAAGCGGGCGTGTTCTATGGGAGAGCCGTGTATTCCATAGTGGAGCGGACCGGAGGAAGGGAATTGTGTTTTCCACACGAGATTATCCGTGACCGGTTACACCTCCTGATGAGGTCCATCCGGTCCACTCATCCGGAGCTGGAGAATCTGTCGGATTTTCTAAGCCTGGAGTGGGGACAATGGAGGCTGGATGCGACAATTCTTCAATCGGAGTCACGGCGGCTTGGTTCTTGGATTTTCCGTTCTGTGAAGCTTCTAATGGAACGTACTTGCGCTCGTGCTGAGTTTTCGTTGTGCCGTAGTATCCTTTAATCTTCAGAAAATCCGAAGTTGGAAGGACGTTGAATAATCTAGCTTTGAGTGCTTCGGAAGCCGATAAAGCACGTTGCGCTCGCTTCTTGGCACTTCCGGGCAAGCTCACGTTCATAATATCTCCTTGGTAAAGGTTCCCGAACTCCTGGACAAACGTGTACATGTCGAAGAGATGAATCCGTTGCATGGCAAACATCCGATCTTGGAATAATCCACTCAACGTTTTCCGTCTTTCATCACCTTTCATGGCAAAGTTTCGGAGTAGCACGACCAGCATGAAGTTGAGTGCGATATACCGACACAACACCACGTACGTCATGTAATAAAGCAGTGCCACTCCAAACGAACTAGCTTGAAGAGAAGCGTGAAAAATCGGCCAGATACTTCCTCCATTCGAGAACTTGAAAAGGGTGAGCATACTGTCACTAAACGTGTTAAAGTGTGACTGCATGGTCAGTGGGAAGTTGCCACCAAACAGATTCATACCCACAACAGCAAATACGCTGTTTAGAAGCAGGTGGAACGCGATGGAGCTTAGAAATGCAGGCACACTGGCTAGTATAGCATCCAGTACTAACAGCAGCTTGTTATTTTGTCGCACCACTCGGAATGGCCGCACTAGACGAAATAATCGAAGGACGAATATCCCACGAGCGTAGCTGTCACTGTAGAGCAGAACTGAACACGATAGCAGTAGAAATTCGACACAGGCGATGACCAGAAGCACAAAATCCAGACGATTCCATGGATTCTGCAAATATCCAACAAGTCCACCGGATGCTGCCCCGATGATAATAAATTCGGTGGCGTACACCAGCATGAGAAAGTTCTCGATCATGTATAAACGAGAAGCATAGATGTCGCTCATCCCGTGATATTCCAGTGCGAATAAAACCGAGTTGGAGAAAACCACCAGATTCATGAAATGTTCGAAAGCCGAAGAATCCGCGATTGACGAAATTTTATCCATGGTGGGACTTCCAGATTCCAGAATGAAAAAAGTCCGTTCTTGACGTAATCTACACCAGCTTAGAAACGTTCCATCTGCTCTTGTGAACAGTGGCGATTGCAGCAACCAGTCTTTGAATCGCCCTCGATAGATTTGCCACTTGGCGTCGACAACTTGCATCACATCTGGGAACTTTTCCGTTCCTTTCGGGAATTGGACACGTGGTTTCTTTAGATATGTTTCCATTCTTTTTTCTTGTTGAGTCACTTTTGCAGCGCGTACTATTGATACGGAGATGTAGCTGTCTCGAACAATCCCCACGAAAAGTGACAAGATCATGTAGCTGACGAACACTACCAACCCGATAAAGTAAATGATCGAGAAGTAGGATGACGCTTGTTGCGCTCCATCCAAAGAAGGGCCAAATCCCGATCGTAACGTTATCAAGAACACCGTTAGAAACGACGCTTGGAACGAGTGGAAACCGGTATATCCGCGATCGGGTGGAGACATGGCTACACATTCCATGTTGGATTTACAGCCCGAAGACGTATCATCCATTCGACAGAAATGCACTGGCGTTTCAGCAACATACGTCTTGGTGTCACCCACAGCCATTGGGGCGATAAAAGTATCGGAATCCGCTTGAATCGCGCAGCGATGAGACAATGAGTTGTTGAAAAGGTACATCCCCAAGATCGCGAACAAGAACAGATAGTAGCAATAACAGAGTACTGCATTACCAGCCATTGGTAACGAAACCAGGAAGGTCTCCATTGTTTCCTGGAAGCTTTTCCAACGCTTAAAAATCCGCACACCTCGAAAAACGCGAAGTGACAGCAGATTAAATCCAGCCAACGAAGAGAAGGGCAGTACAGCTAACCAGCTGATCATCACTGCGCAGAGGTCGAACGCGTCCCATTTACTCCTTAATAACGGCGCGATCCCTTCCAATCCGATGGCTTTACAGATCTGCTCCATGGTTAGAAATACCAGTAGAAAATATTCTAACACAGTCATGCCAAACCTCGCCACTTCTTCCACGTCTTCTTCGTCATCGAGGTTCGTCACGTAGCGGAATGAACGCCATCCGACTGACGTCATACTGCCGACTACAGCGATCAGTACTGCAAGCTGGAAAGACGGATGCACCACGACTTGGTAACATCGAGTTGGCAACCCACTCGGCAGCTCGATGTCCGTGAATATTTCGGTGTTTTCTGGTTCATTTTGCTTTAAACCTGCTTGTTGTCGGAAGAATGCGCGTGCAATGTCTCGAGTAAATTCGTCTTCGAACTCTAAATCGAAGCTCTTGAAGGCATTTGCAGGTTCCTGAGATGGGGAATCTGACGGTGTATCAGATTCTAGAGGCGTCGTTGGAGTAAAACACAGCGATAAACACCTGTCATCGTTCGCAGGAAGCTCGTCGGTGGTTAAATACTTGATCGTCCGCACAAAATTGGTCGTTTGGCGTCCTGTTCTCACGCTTTTCGCCTCGGTTATCACGACGCTGACGTCGTGTATCACGATTTTTTCCAAGAGTGATGGAGGCAGATAACTCTGCAAGGGAAGAGCTCTGGGTTGCCACACCAGTGTCACTTTGTCTTCCAGCAGTTTCAAACCTCCGTTTGCCGGTTCTCCACGTGCTCCATGTAGTTTTGCACTGACGTTTCCATCACGGAGACTGTCGCGAAAAGTGTCGAGTTGTCTCTCGTCATCCGACGGTACTGCGATAGCAGCGTCGCTCATTTCTCGTGGTTTAACTCTCGATGCTTCTACACCGCGTGGTCTTGATACATGCAGAGGGATGAAGTGTTAGATCTATCAACAGTTGCAACAGAGGTGAGATTGTCTATAATTATCAATCGAGGCAATTTATTTTTGGCAGCTGATAAACGCTTTTTCATTTTCTTTTGCTTAGAAAAAATATAAAATGTGCATCCTTATTTAAATCAAGTCGAAGCATGTCTGCTTTTAAAAAAAAAGCATAATCATGATTTAAACAAAACGCTTTTTTTTTTAAATAAAAAGGTAATCAAAAAGAATAAAATGGGAAACCGCCCAAAAGTGGATGGAAGCGTCGTCTAGGCAAATGGCAAAGCGTAGGAAGCAGGTGCTTCGAGCTCCTGTAACATCTTCAGAGCCTGTGGTCTACGTATGGGAGGGGGCGCATGCGTCTCTTTGGAGCGAAGGCAACAAATGTGGCGTTCGGATGGTAGACACGATAATACTGTACCACAACTCGGACAGCAGTCACATCGACTCGTACTTGTGGTTGTTCACGGGAAAAAGTGGCGCAATCTCTCGCAAACGCATGTCGAAGGATGGTTCGTTGCCTGTTGCTAAGATCCGCGAGAGATTTTTGCAATTATCAGGTCGTTCGAGTGACAAAAGTGTGGATTCCATGGCTGTCGTGAATTTCCTGGATGGCACGCGAAAAGTTGTGGGAATCGACGAATTCGAGGAGATTTTACACGCTCTGGAAAATAAACGTGGAGTTTCTTCGTTTGGCAGGAAAATTGAGGGATTGCAACCGTATATTTCCTCAATTAGCGACGAGAGTCATGTCCAAGTGGAATTTGAAATTTCACGAGACGGATCTGCCGTACCCGACGTCAAAATTGAACGAAGAGCTGGATATATTAATAATCCGAACGAAACTACACCGCTTCAGCTGTCGAGTAGCAAAAGTAAAGAAGTGGAGAAAATTACAACCAAAGTGGTAAGTTATTTATCGAAAACTACAAACGCTCGCGTTGTCGGTGCCACTCTCGAGTTCGTATGCGACAGTAACCAGATCGTGTGGTTGACACACATTTCGCACGTGGAACTTCAGCAGATCAGTGACAAAGCTGCCGGAGCAATGTTACAAAAAAAAGCGTCACTGCCAAATCTTCAGTCTGCTATTAAAGGCGAAAATTCGGTAAAGTGTCGAGGTGAATTTTGTGAAACTTCGGTAACATCGCTTCCTGGTCTAGCGAGATGGGTGACAATGTTACGAAATCAGAACGATAACAATCTCGATGAAACTGAAGTCGACCACGTGGTCGTGGAAGATACTGGACAGCGATTCAAGATAGGCAACAACAATCTCCTTCTTGCACACGCTGAACTTGATTTTCTTAAAGATACGTCGGCTCTCTCCTCTCAGCTGGATGATAACGCATTGGCCATACAGTGGCAAGAAGCTGATAACGTGTTTCGGATGGAACTTGGACGTCCCAACCCGACGCAGTTCTACAAACAAGTGCCCGTTTGCTCCAATTGCCATCGAGTGTATACGGAGATCAACAAATTCCGTGATGCTGGCTTCCAGCTGAAATCAACCCTCAACAGCGATCAGAATGTAGAAGAATCGAAAGAAAATGACCTACAAGATGAAATTTTCGAGGAAATGTTCCTTGAAGAACTGGCGAAGCAGTCCGCTGTTATTGACTCGACGGTTGATAACAGCAACAAGCGGGTCGTTAGTGGACCGGAGCTGGATGATACGGACCGACCTCGAAGTGGCTCAAACAGCTCAAGAGAGCGCTCTATTCTTCCTTCTCTTCAAGCAACTTCAAAGATGGGCAAGAGAAAGTGCATCATCCCACTACGTAACAATCAGCAATCGACTGCAAATCTTGTTACCGGCAACGACGGGCTGACAGAGAGAGTGCAACACTTGGAAGTGGAGCTTATGCAAACCAAGCAAAAGTTGTCAAGTGTTGAAGCACGGAAAGTGAAACTGGAACAGGAAATTCTCCAAACTCGAGCTCAATGTGCAACAATGTTACGCGAAAAAGACGATCAAGCACGGAAGCAGCGACTGGAGCTGGAGTTTACTTTCCACTCGAAACAAAGTCAAGTTAAACACACGACTGACAGCAGCTCCGTCGATGAAATTTCTCGGTTAATCGAGACGATTGACATGTTAAATCTTCAATTGGACCAATCAAATCGAGACAAGGAACAAGTGAAGAAACAACTCGTGCACTCGCAACAAACAGAGCTCAAGAAACTCCACGAAAAGTACCAACTTGACATTGAAACTTTACGGCTAAGTGAACATTCCGCCAAGGAACAAGTAGAGAGTTTACAGATGCAAATGTTGAGTCTCCAAAGTCAAGCACAAGTGGCCACTACGCAAGCGAAAAACGCCAAAGCTTCTCTAGAAGAGTTAACCAAGAACAAAGTGCTCGTTCTAGAAGACAAGAACCAACGTCTTGAGCGTCAAGTAGCAGCTTTGAAGCTCCAGCAACGCAGCCAAGGGCAAACATCCGGGAGTGTAACATTGGTAACATCGTCGTCTGTCGCAAAGCATGACGTGGAGGCGATGGAGAAGCATCTGAACAACAAGATTGAGTACTTGAAAGCCCAACTGTCGTCGGAGATGAAGTGTAAAGAAGAACTGGGAACACACCTCGCTCAAATCACCAACGCTATGGAACAAATGAAAGTTGACAAGCGCCAAGCGCTAGCGGAACAAGAAGAAGCTTTCAAGAAACAATCCGAGCGGATCGAAACTGCTTTTTCTCAAGAAAAAGAGCTTTTAACAACGCAACAAGCGGCGTTACAAGGTAAAGTAGTGACGTTACAAGCGAATGTTACCGATCTCGTGCAAGAGCTGACAATGTGGAAAAGCAGAGAAGCCAACGCCAAGCTTGCGATGGAGAAAATGGTCGAAGAGAATGTTCGATTGACTCGGCAACTTGTGGACGCTGAGGGTCAAGTTGAAGCGCTTCAAGAAGAACGTAAACAAGACGCTGCAAATGTAGGCTCTATGAGTGTAACAAACGCCAGTGAAGAGACCAAACGCATGCAAATGGAGGCATTGTTACGTCGTCTTGACAATGAACGGCAGTATCTAAAGAGTCAACTGGAAGATCAGCAAGAAATGAAGGAGAAGAGTCAGAGAAAAGTTACAGATCTTCAATACGAGCTTCAAGAAGTGAAAGACGCCATGGAAGACGCTTTACGACTCAGCGAGCAGAAGATCAGTACATTGACGACTGAAAATCGCAACCAAGAGCTCGAGTTACGTGGCACTATCGAGTGTCTGGAAGAGGGGAAAATGTTACTAACTCGACAGCTAAAAGACGTGCAAAATAAATTCTCAGAGGCTCGAGAACAGTCGCTACTTGAACGTGACGAGATTGACAAATCCAGGATCGAAGTCAGCGAAATGAGAGCGCAGTTACTGGCAGCAAAGGAAGACAATGTGAAGGAGCAAAGTTACGCGAAAAATGCGAGTGAGAGAATGTCAAAATCTTTGGCTGCAGTGAAAAATTCGCTGAAAGTGATGGAAGACGAGAAGAACATGTTGATCCAGCGTCTCGAAGACGAGAATGCGCTGTATATGGGTAAACTAGCGGCTGTTCAAGGCGAGATGCTGGTGCTCGAAGAAAAACTCGAGAAGGACAAAATTTGCGCTAGGAAGGAGAAAAAGTTGGCAAATTTTGCATTAGTGCTTCGTGAGAAATTTGCGTTATGGAAGTTACGAAAGGAGTATCGTGCCTTTTCCCAAGTAAAGTTACACACTACTTTGGTGCGTCTGCAAGCGAGTCAAGAGCGAAGAAGAGCTGAAGAACTGGAGAGGCTGGAGGAGCGATTACGCGACGATTACATGGCGAAATGTGACGAAATGACGCAGACACTTCATGATGAACGTCTCGAGGCTATTCGAAGGATGAAGGAGGAACATGATAAAGATCGGGAAGAGCTGAACGAATTTTACGTTCAAGAAAAGTATCAGCTACAAGAAGACCTCACAGCAGTCCACACGGCGCAGATGCAGCAGATGAAGGAGAAGTTTGACAATTTTTCCAAATCTGTCGAATCTGATGTACAAAACACCATTCAGGATCTGCAGAACGAGAAAAACAAGCTCCAACAGAGCCACATTCAATTATCTGAGGAGCTAGCCGCAATGACGCAGAAGTGCGAAGTGATAGCGAGTACTTTCGAAGACGAACTGGCAGCTTTAAAAGAGGAATGGAAGAGCAGAGAAGAAGATTGGGAAGATGAACGAGAAGGTCTTCAATCATCGATTCAAACGCAACGAGAACAATCCGACGAGAAGCTGAGATTGGAGAGGAGTAAACTTGTGTCGGGTCATGAAAAAGAGCTGGAAATTTTGCAGAAACGACATGAAGTGGACACAACTGAGCGCGCCAAAGAATTTACTGCTCAAGTCACGATGCTGCGTGAAGAATACAGTCAGAAATATGCGGAATTTCACAAGACAGAGGTCTCAGCTATGGCAACCAGGCATCAAAATGAGCTGGAGAGCGAGATTAGTGCAGTGACGCAGCGATACCAGCAGGACATGGATACTCTTCGTGAAGACCATAGTAGAGCTCTTCATGACGCAATGACGCAAGCTAAACTCGAGGCGAATGGACGACTGGAAGCGATGCAAAAGGAGATGAACGAGCGTAAAGGAACCGCAGTTGTCAAGTGTACGTCCAAGTGGCAACGAGCCATGGAGGAGCTGCAGAACCGACAGCAAGTGGAGAAGAAGATGACGTACAACCAAGGTCTTTACGATCGAGAGAAGGAATGGCAACAAGCTGCAGTGCAGATCAAGGAACGACAGCGTGAAGAACTTGACAAAGTCCAGCAAGAGGCAATGGCAGCGATTCGAGCTGCGGAGGAACGGCACGAGATGAAATTTCGAGCTCAACTTGCTGAACTGAAAATTCAACTTGAAACGCAACATTCACAAGAACTTGAAAAATTGTCGGAAGACATCACGACACGTGAACGAGAACGAGCTCAAGAGCATTTCGACGCTAACGTGGAAGTGATGGAGCAAGAACTGGCTGCCAAGTGGACGGAGCAACTTGAAGAACAGAAAGCGGAGCTTGAACGCAAATTTGACGATGAAAAATCACGATTAAATGCGATATTTGCCGAGGAGAAAGAGACTGCGCTACGCCAACTGCAAGAAGCTCACGAAGAGCAACGCCTACAGTTGGATAAAGCATGGGGCGAAAAGCTCGAGAATCTTGTTGCAACCACTGCAACTTCTCATGAAAAACAACTTGAATCGCTTTATGAAAATCACGATCGTGAAAAAGAAAATTTGTCAAATCAGCTCCAATCGCAATTTTCGCAACAGTTGGAGGAACAATTACGAGATCAAGAGGCCAGACTGCTCCGGGAACAAGAAGACGCTATCGCTCAAGTGCAGGAAGACTCAGAGAAGTTGATTGAGCAGGTAGAACGAGCCATGACCGAGTTGAAGAAACAAAAAGAGCATTTAGAGACTGAGCTTGGGTCGCTCCGCTCTGCGCTCGAAGAAGCTGAAGATGCCCAATTCGACGCCCAAGAGAGCCTTAAGAAACAGCAGAAACAAGCAGCGCTTCACGTTCTTCATCTGGTTATGCGTGCGATGAGAAAAATCAACGAGGAAGTTCAGGCAAAGCAAATATTGCAAAACGACATTGAAATTAAGGTGAATCGTCTGGAAACCGAAAAATCTGATGAAAAATCACGTTGGGAAGAGCTGATGAGTAAAATTTGTGAAACTTGGTCACAAGTGCAAGCTCAACACGGCGAGATGAGTCAAACGCTGACGAACTATAAACGAGACGAGCTAGTGGCACACCGGAACTCCAGTGCTATATTATCCAACGAAATTTCGATTGTAATGAAACAATTAGAAGAAGTGGAAGAGATGAAAATCACATTAGAGCGGGACGTAAATTCGCTCCAAGCTGAAGCGCAGACCATCGAAGCTTCACTCCGAGACCTCATGTTGCAGTCTGGTAACAATGGATCGTTGAATATGGCGGTGGTAGCCAAGAAACGTCGACTGAACGAAGAGTTTGAAGCTCTTTTGGAACGTATTGAGAAAAAGAAGGCGGAAATTCGAAATGTTGACCAAACGCTGGCGTCACTTCGAGCCAGACGCGAAGAGAAGGAGCACGAAATGCGAGCCATGGAGCGCAAACTAGTCGAGATTTTGGTGCAGCAGCAGAAGCAAATGTTGCAGCTAGTCTCCGCTGTACGAGAAGTGTCACTTCCCATTATTGCCAGCTGAGAAATATAGATATTACAAGTATTTATCAGAAAAAATGGGTGCATTCTCTAATGGTTGTTTATTTCTGGGAGGCCAATTCCTCTTTGAGGCGCTTGCGTGCCTCGGTTTCTACCAGCACAGCAACCTGTGGCAAAATATGGTGAGATTTTTTTATTTTAGTTGAAATTTGTCGACGTACCCGACGTTCTTCCATGTATTTACTTTGCAAGTAGAAGCCATAGTATGCTCCAGCCACACCACCACAAAGCGCAAAGACTGCTCGTCCAGTTGAACTACCGCCACCAACGTTCACACCGCCACGAGGACCGCCTGCCATCATGCCTGGAGCGCCGCTCATCTTGGAAGAAATGTGGTGTGGTGCACATCAGCAATAATAGTGTGGCTGACACTTTATTTGCATTTAGATTGTTGTCACTTCAACATGGGAAGCCGATGTTACTGTGCACCAGCAATCGCATGAACGTATTGGCAGTTGTAGTCGTTTCATACGAAGCACTACCTCACCAAAACTAAAGGAATTGGTGGCTTCACTCAAGAATTCACCCCACGAGCGACAAGAAAATGGTTAAGCTGTTGCGTCTTCTGATTCTAGAAATGGGTTTGCTTGCACTGAGTCGAGCCGCATCCACATTCGATTCAACGCAAAAGTGGGGGTACAAGGAGACGACGGACCAAGAGCTTGGGCCTAATGACTGGCACAACGGCTACCCTGATTGTGGAGGCAAGCACCAGTCTCCAATCAACTTTCCCATTCGAGAAATCTTACACATTGAACAATGGGATGCCGAGCCTCCACTTCAATACGCCGGTGCTTGTAGAAACTTCACACTTCACAAGCTCGACGATCTGTACAGATGGGAGATCCAGCAAGACGAAAGTAAGTAACTTAGATTTTTTTTTAGCTACATAGTGTGAAGATTAACACGGCGTTGAAGACTGCACAGTCAAGACCACTAACAAGGGTAAGCGCGAGTATTCTGTGCTTCAGTTCCACATGCACCTGGCGTCAGAACACACGATAGACGACTATCACTACGACGCCGAGCTCCACTTCGTTCACAAGGCCGTGGACGGAAGTGGTAAACTACTCGTCATGGGCGTGTTTCTTCATGCTGAGAATAAAACACAGCCGAACGCGTTCACTCAAAGTCTTGTGGGTGATATGGAGAGTAGTAATACAACATTGAATCTGGACAAAATCGACACGAACTACGCAGAAATGCTCAACAGCCTCGTGAAGAAGAACCACTTGATGAACTACAGTGGTAGTTTGACCACACCTGGTTGCAGCGAAGTTGTCGACTGGTGGGTACTTATTCAACCGATTTCAATCTCGTTGGCCGATTTCCAGAAAATGCAGACGTTGTACGGTGAACTTCCAGTCACGAGCAATTCCACTGACAATCGCCCCACTCAACCTTTGAACGATCGTGAAATTATCTACTACTTCCATAGAGCGGCAAACTCATAACTATGATGCATCAATCGTAGTCCGGAAAGCTAATTCGGGAAAAATTGCATACCTGAAAAATTGAAAATCCTAAAAACAAATTGCTAATTTTTGGTGTATTGAACATGAAAAAACACGAAAAGACGTTGTGTGCAGCAGAGGTCGCCGGCGCTTTAGGACGCTTGTGGGCCGTCGATTGATGAATCTATCGCCAATTTAACTGTAATGCACCGGGATCTTACTGGAGGGGCATGATAAGGGCACATTAAGTCCTCGATCATATCTGAAATCTCAGCTTGGAAGACATCTCAAATTCCTTAAGAGCAAGTGAATAAAAAAATGTTGGGTCCTGTGTCACGTATGTTGCTGTTGAGTGCTACTTTCATCGTTTCGGGGCAAGCCGACACGAGCAAGTGGGGGTACAAGGAGACAACCGACGAGGAATTGGGTCCTGCCGACTGGAAGGGCAGCTACTCTGCATGCGGTGGGACGCACCAGTCTCCCATCAACATCCCGATGCGTAAGCTCTCGCACAACGACTGGGGTATGGCTCATGCCCCGCTTAAGTTCGGAGGCGACTGCAGTAAATTCAGCCTCAAGAAACTCGAGGATCTGTACAAGTGGGAGATCAAAGGAGACGAACGTGAGTACAAAAAAACTTAGTTATTTAGTATTTTTGTGAAGTAACATCGTAACATACTTGGTGGATGCGAGGGTAGACTGCACGGTCAAGTCCATCAACTTCGACGAGCGTGAGTACGGACTGGCTCAGTTCCACATGCACGCGACGTCGGAGCACGCCCTAGACGACTACCACTACGACGCGGAGATCCACTTTGTCCACAAGGCAGTGGACGGTAGTGGCAAGATCCTAGTGACGGGTGTTTTCCTCAACGCTGAGCCAAAGGTGCAGGAGAACGCGTTCGTCAAGGGCCTCTGGAAAGATCTCGAGACGGAGGAGAGCTCTTTCAACCTGAGAGACGCGGGGTATGTTAAGATACCCCAGATTTCTAGAATTACTAAGTTCTAACTTCTTCTTTTTTAGCATGACCTACGCTGAGATGTTAAATGGTCTTGTAGCCAAGAGCCACGTGTTCAACTACAATGGTAGCTTGACCACTCCACCGTGCAGCGAAGTCGTGGACTGGTGGGTGTTGAACAACCCCATCTCCATCTCGTACGACGAGCTTCACCAATTGAAGAAAGTGTATGGCGAGCTCCCAGCCACCAACGACGCCTCGGACAACCGCCCCACCCAGCCACTGGACGACCGCGAGATCAAATACTACTAAGTTGCAAAGGTAGCATGATCGTCCACCAGCAAGAAAAACAAAGCTAGGTTACTTGAGTTTACTAAAAAAAAAAGAGAAAAAAACGAATTCTTTTCTAATTTTTATTCGCACGAACACATTGAACGCTTGATCGTAGATATCTTACTCGACTTTTTTTTTAAGTTTCCTTCTCTCTTCTACGTTGAGCACATCAAAATCTTCTTAGCCTGTCTTTGACTTACAGATTGTATGGGTCTGTGTATGAGAAGCCCTGGAACACGTGACTTTTCCCAATCGGGACATCCGACACCACCGAGTCGATGACTTCCTGTCGTTTGAAAAATTCCGGCACGTTGTTCACTTCCCCGTCGGACTTGACCACCGGTTTGAACGGCACCGGGACGTCCCGCTTGTACAGTTTCTCCCAATCCACTTGCGCGAAGAAAGGGTGATCCATGATCTCCTGCGCTCCACAGGGTCCGGACCCCAGACGTTTCGCCGGGTTCCGACATATCAACCCTCTCAAAAGTGATCTGGCATCATCCGAAAACTCGGACGGGAACCGTAACGGGAGCTTGACGATGTTCTGGAAATTCCGTTTCCGGTTCGCGTGGTAGAACGGCGTGTAGCCAGCCAACATTTCGAAGATGAGCACACCCATGGACCAGTAATCCACGGCTTTCCCGTACGGTACACGTCGAATGAGCTCTGGAGCGATATACTCGGGTGTGCCACAGAACGTCTGCATGCCGTCTTTACTGTCAAAATGGTCGTGAGACAACCCAAAGTCCGTCAACGCGATGAATCCTTGGTCGTCTAGCAAAATGTTCTCGGGTTTCAGATCACGGTACACGATGTTGTACGTGTGAAGATGCGAGATCGCCAACACCAATTGAGCGGCGTAGAAACGAGTCCGCACTTCGTCAAAGTGCATAGCACGACGCAAATGGAAGTGCAACGTGCCGCCGTTGTAAAAGTCCATGACGAAATACAACTTGGCGTCGTTCTGGAACGCGTACCGCAGTTTGACCATAAATGGGTGGTCCACACCTTGTAGGATCCGACGCTCCGTTTTGGTGTGTTCCACCTGATTTTTTGCGAACACGGCAGCTTTCTTGATGACCTTCATGGCGTATACTTTGCCGCTTTCTCCCCCTGTCGCACCTGCTATTTGTTGCGGCGTCATGCCCATGGCCATCATCGTACGAGGACTTAATAACCGCGCCCCTTTCTGTTGTTGAGGCACCTTCCGTCGCACTAGCATGACCTTGCCAAACGCGCCTCGACCGACGACACGTAAGAGGTCGAAATCGTCGATAGTTAACGAGTCGTACTCGCGAGGTTTCAGCTCCCGAGCGTTCCCAGCGGCGCCACCGAGTACTGTTTCATACACTGACTGCTTGCGTGTACGTGGCTGGTCTCTTGGAGGTCGTCCAAGGTCTCCATTTTGTCCAATAGGAGGCTTTGGTCGAGCTTGTTGCTGTTCATCTAAAAGCGTATTTAAGCGAAGTTCACGGGCTGCTCGACGCTGGAACTCGTACGGCGTAGGAGACGCTAGAAACGCAAACACAGTGTCGAGAACTTGTTGCGTAGTGTACGCTGGACTCTCATTGGCTCCTTCACACGGCCCAGCAGACAAGCAGATGCAGCCAAAACCCGTGAGTTGAGCTGCACTGGGACTCTTAGGAGATCTGGATGACGGTGAGGTCGCCGTGAATACGTCATCACTACTTGTAGTCGTGGTGCCGGTGCCACTCGGACCCCCACTTGTGGCGAACGTAGTGGCATCTCGACTAAGCTCTGTGTTTAACGGAAAATCCGATCGGGACCACGAGATACTGTGCTGGGAGAAGAAGCGCTTGAAGCCAGAGTTCCACGACGGGTCGATCTTGTGCGAGCTCTCAATAAAAGCCACATTTCCTAGTCGGCTTTTGAGATCGTACCGGTATTTGGCAATCAACTGGGTCACCAGGACGCCACCGTACCCATAGGCGATGAAGTGCACCTTGTGAGCGGCTGAAGGGAAGATATAGTTACGCCACACGTGGTCGCAATGGTCCTCGGCGTTACTGGAGCCTCGGATGGGCATCTTCTCCACGGTTCCGTCTTGTGTTACCATAAGTTGCGTGTTCATGTTGGGATTCATGACTAGAATCCCGTATCCTGCAGCGATGGCTTTCTGGAAATAGGGCAGCATGGAGCCGACTTTGACGCCGTCTTTAAGTAGCACACTGCGACTCCAAATGCCACAACTGAGACCTCGGAAGGAGCATACAAAGACTAAGAGTTTCTCGGCCACACTGAAGTTTTTACTCGTGTGGAAAATGCATCTCGGTTCATCCGTGTCCATCATCATACGGAATCCGTCATTGGTGGAGCAGATACTGGACGAACTGGAGCGTACCGAGCTGCTGACACTGGCATTGCTGCCTGCTGTACTGGCTCCAGGATCGAAGCCAGACTCGACCGAACTTCGCTCAAACTCGAGTGGAGGGATGGCTTGTTCCAGGAACAAAAGCTCCTGTAACATTCTCGTGTGTACATTGTCAATCAGACCGCGAAGAACTTCTTCGCCGTGTTCGCGGATTTCCTGCTTGGAGATGCGTTGTCTGGTGGCTTTATTGCGCACTTCTCCGCTCTCCGTGAGCTCGAACCGGTCGTTAGACCAGCCCGCAGACGCTGCAGTGAACGCTGCGGGCATCGTGTCTTCCGAGATGGTGCCCATGTCCCATTTCGGCATTGGCGGACGTCGTGTTGTACCCGCGTTGCTACTGACGCTGCTGCTGTTGATGACGATGCCGTCCATGAGCGCAGTGAGCGTCGGTCGCTCGCCTGAAGCTGTCGGCGCATTGCTGGGGCCGTTTGCAGGGCGATGGTTGGAGTCCCACTTGACCTTGATCATGGCTAACGGAGAGGAGGAAGTCGCTCTTCCCTTCGCTTGTGAACGTTGCTTGTCCCTCTCTGGCTAGTGATGCTGACTCGTTGAGAGACCCGGCTCTCCCATCATCAACCATTTTGGGCCAATTGGCGACCAGAGATTGCTATGTGGCGATGCGAAAGAAAGCCATGGTGTGCACCACATGAAACGATTGCGTAAAAGAGATTGTCTCGACACCATACAAAGGATAAGACTTTGAAGGAGAAGGTCGTTTAAGAAGACGATGGGCTATTGATCCGCTTGCAAGTTTTGTCAGCTCGTATCAAACTGAAGACACATTCTAGCCACAGTTCAGTGCAATTTTTTGGTAGCTTCGAAATTCTGCTCACACTTCCTCGTCTCGGATCGGATCCCAATCCGTGACGTATTAATAGTATTCGTCCAGTGCCATGAGTCTCTCACCTTGTTCAGTCGACAGTTTGGTATTAAACGCCTCGAGATTCTCTTTTTTACGTTTAACATTGGCAGATTTCGGTAGAGCGACAATTTTTCTGGCTAGACTAAAAGCCACCAGCACCTGTCCTGGCGTAGCATTGGCCTCCTTGGCGATCTCAATAAGCATCGAATTTCTTACTTTATAGCCCTTTACTAATGGAGAATAGGCTTGCACGATGATGTCTTGGTTCTGGCAATAATTGACTGTCTCTGGATGAGTAAGCCACGGACGCACCTTGATCTGGTTCACTGCCGGCTTCACTTTGGCTTTCTTCATGAGCTTGTCTCTCATAAGATCTTTTCGGAATACCGGTAAAACGGTGCATGATTGACCATGTTTAAAACAATTACGTATTATCACCTTACACTGCGAAATTGCCATCTTAAACTTTAAATTTACTCGTTTAAACTAAACAAAACTCTGTTTCATCACTCTGTGGCAAGTAGCGGTCCCAGAACGTGCCGTTGTTTGACTGCGACGACTGCTCGGAAGTTCCTGAGAACGCGTGGCTCTTGTTGTCACTGCCATCGCGCCATTTCGCCGCAGTAGCAGCCGTAGTGGCGCTGGACTCTTGCGTTTTCTCCTGTTTCCGTCGCTGAAGATCGTTACTGCCACTTTTCAAGTCAGCGAATGGCGAGTCCGAGCTCGAATAGCCGAAGCGAGAGCGCTGGAAATCTCCGTATGGGTTCACTCCATTGCTCACCAAAGCTGCATAGTTGCGCTTCTCCGCCTCGGTAAGCACTTCCACCTGATGACGCCACACGGCCACTTGTTGCATGAGACTCTCCACTTCTTCCGAGTGTTCCTCTGCCAGTTTTTGCAAATATTCCTCATGTTTTCGCTGACTCTCATTGGCTGCAGCTTCCACCATTTTCTGAGCTCGACGTTCCGCTAATTTGTTGGAATTTTCAATCGAGCGGTTGGATTCCTTGATCAGCTGTTCTTCATGCTCTGCTAGTCGCGTCATCGCACTCTCATGAGCCTTTTCCATCATAACTTCATACTCGTTCCTATTCGTCGCCAACTGGGTCTCTGCGTCTTGAGCTCGACGCCGCGCTTTGTCCAATTCCTGACGTTGAACTTCCACTTGCTCCTTGAGTCTAGCTATCTCACTGTCGCTCTGTGCAATTCTAGCTTGAAGGATATGTTCTCTCTCAGCCGCACGTTCTTGTGCAAGTTTTAATTCTCGATAAGCGTCTTGCAAGACACTTATTTCGTCACGTACCGAGGCATTCTCCATAAGTGCGAGTTGCAAGCTATTACTCAAATCGGTCTGCGCTTCAGCCACACAATCGAGAGCGTTGACAAACATCCTGGCTCCAAGAGCACGAGGCTTTAAAGCGTGTTGCTCAGCCAGCTCAGTCTCTAAGAACGGACTGAAATCTTGATACCAACGAAAGCACAAGCTCGTCGGACGAGAAGCTGAACGTAGACGCTTGATCACGGCGACAAAAGGAGCGCCGAACGTGCTCTCGTTGTTGATAGAAACCAGTACGAATCCTTTGCACAAGCGCTTCTCACTGCCGCGATGTTCAGATCTGGACGAGAAGAACACGGGAGACACTTCCAGCATTGCTGCTTCCACGTCGCAGATTCTACAAGCTCCAAGCGATAACCCCATCGGGCCCGTAGCTGTACTCCACACACCTTGAGTTTTTCTTATGACGGAATTAGTTTCTTCATAAGACTGGTTGTCACTGTCACTGTCACTGTCACTTGAATCGAGTTCAGGAAGGAAAGATTTCACTTTCCTCTCAGCACGACGCTTTTCACGCAATTCGTGGAGTAGAGACGGTGGCAAATACGAGAAAAAGCCTCGCGAAATGAGGTCACGGGACCCTCCACTTACGTCGTCCCATGCGAACAGAGCGCCACCATTTACTAGCCCGTGACTCGACATCGTCACATCCGCTGTCTCGCCTCTCTGCTTGCCCGTAGCACTCACAATATTGGAATTATTCGAGCTTGAAATACTGTTCACTTCAGAGCTTCTGGAGCCGAATAAATCACCAAAAACGGCGCCAAAGAGACCAGAAGAGCGCGACGCATCGACACTGAAGCTGCGATGACTAGGATTCAATGCAGACTTCCCAGTGTCCGACGTTGAGTTGCCGCTACTGCTTCCTCCACTGACACTCGACACGACGCGTTGTCTCCCACTCATGGACTCTACATTCGACGTAGAATCAACGCTACTTCGAGGCGTTTCTGGGCTGTTTCTTTGCCTGTTTAAATGAGGATTGTATAGAAATCTCAAGCGCAGTGGCAGCCCCACACTACGTAGCTGAGCCAACACTTGATCGAACGGAGAATCACTGACGTCAACGCCATTCACGCGCACCAATTTGGCTCCAACTGGGACGTCCACTAACGCTGGGTCCAATTCCTGTTGCTCTCGAAGGAAACCTGCCACTGTAGCGCCCAAGAACTGTCCATCTTGTTCGTGACTCGGCGTTAATCGTAAGCCCAGACCTGCTTTTGTACTCGTGGAATTCCTCAGCTTTGAAGGATACGCAGCCGGTGCCGCTTGTTCCAGCTGAATATTCAGCTCCTCCAAAGCCAAAGCAAAGCTCGGCATACCTCGAAATACATGCGGGAAGGGACAGTTGGCTCCAGCGAGCAGGAAGCAGCTCAGCATCACCACTGGCAGAGCTTCAGCCTTGTCGGTTTTTAAGAAATACAGAGCTGGGTCTCCCTGCTGTTCAATCGTCTTCAAACTGACGCTACTGCGTCGCGTAGAAGCTGTCGCTGTGCTCAGGTTCGACATTGCTCGTAACCTGCCATTGTTTAAAACATCCGTGCTATGAATTTTATGTTTTTTCGTTGTCTTGAGTTTGGCTTGCTCCTCCAATTGTTGCATTCGTTGTTGCTGAAGCTCGCGAAGTTTCTCTTTCTCCTGTTGCTCCTGTTTTTGTTGCAGTGTTTGACAGTAACTCTGCGTGTTCTCCAACACTCCTTCCAGCCAGTTATGCAGCTCCACGAGACGGTCTTTGCAGTGTTGCGCATGGAATATTTTGAGATATGCTTGGGATAATCTCGGAACACGAACCGATCGACTGGCCAATAGCTCTGAGGAGTGAGCGATGTACTTCTGGAAGTGTCTGTAGCGACGGTAGATCTTCCAGCTGTAGCGTCGAGAGCTAGACGAGTCTCCTAGCGAACACTCAAATACATAGCTATATGATACAAACATCCGTCATTAATTTGTCATATCCATATGCGAGTTGCTAATTATAGCATGCTCGCCAACTGTCCGGGATTATTTGACGGACGACGTACATGTCGATGCTGTCAGGGGTTCGGTAGTAGCCCAGCGGCTTGATTGTCACGGGTTGTGTGGCTAACAACGCTGTGAGCTGCTGCCAAGTCTCCAGCTGTGTGAAGGCGCGGTTCGACTCGCTCAGAAAGGGCCGGGGTAGTCCCAGCGCCTTGGAAATATTCTCTACAACCGCCGCCTCCATCGGTTGATGCAGAGATGAACGTGGTGGCACTCGCTTTCTGCGCAAGTGTGCAGCGATCACGAACTGCCAGCGCCACCTCCTCACGTACGTTCTGATTTTCGTTATGAGTTGCGACTCGCAACGCTACAAAAAGGCGGGCTGCAACTGGCAATTGTCGGATCTATAACGATGCAACTTTTTTTTTGATCGGATTGAAGAGGCTTTGCAGGGGATTTTGCTGCTAACAAAGAACTATTGACGCTGCCTCATTGTTTCACGAGAAGCTCTCTAACTCGATCCCTTGAAAATGCAAAAAGTTGCACAACTTGCCCGATTTTTTTGGGGTCAAGTGTGATCCTAGAAATTCTAGGCGCTCTATTCCATGTGCCCATCGATTCGAACTGGAAGTTACTTAGCTCTCACTAACTGAAGTACATGTTCAGTAATATAGTACTTGAAGTACAGTACATGCCCTGCTAGTTAACAGTTAAAGAGGACCGCCACGACAACGTAGCCGACTGAAAGGCTTGTCGCTGACTCCTCCTCGATCATCATAAGATCCACACTGTGGACTACACCGTGGCGGCCATCAAACGCGGTCTGTATATTTTAACGTCCATTGCCCTCATGTCGAGTATTCTCGATGCTATTTCCTCTCTGTCCGACACGTTGGCTTCTTCGCGCTCTTGCCGTCAACCACAAAATTAAAATATAGGCTGCCTGCTGCTTCCACTCGCACGTCTCCCACCTGTTCGCTCTTCGTACACATTGCAGTCTGCCCCATGCAGAGCCCGTCTGCGAGGTCGTCGCTGTCCTATCGCCCTGTCATCGCCTTTGCGGTGGAGGCTGCTGCATCGAGCTCGCGCGTTAAATGTCGCGGTCCACACGGGTGGAGCACACCACTCCCTTCTCCGCCAGGCGAGCTGTCGTCTCCGCGTTGAAGTACTCGCCATCCTTCGATTTTATTCGGAATTTAACTGCAAAAATTAATGATTACAAAAACCAATTATCAGATTTGTGAACGGCAACAAAGGTGCGGCAGAGAGGATTTTATACGTACATCTATGGGTTTCGCCCAACGTGTTAAGCTTCGTGAACACCGCGCGGACTGCATGCACATTGTCCTATTCGCCACCGAAAATACATACGAAATTAGCAATGATAACAATCAAACGAACATTAGTTGCGACTCACCGGGTGCACCATATCCAGGAAGCTCGTCTGACCAGGCACAATCTGGTGGTTCTGGTACCCGAGAACGCGCGTATAGGCGGCGCTCGAGAAGAGGAACACCGCCGAGGCTTCTGCGGCCACCAGAGCGATGCAGTCCATGCATTGTTCACAGATCTGCTGGTACACCTGCAATTGTCCGACCTCGTGCTTAAGCGACTCGACAAACTCTTTCTTGCGCAGACGCGACTTGCGCGAATGGTCACGGTTACGCTCTCGCGACTTTTCCTCCTTGATCAGCGCCTGCTTCTCGTCCTCGCTGAGGTTCTCGAAGTTGGGCGTCGGGTTGTTCTTGATCATCGCCGAGATGATCTCGGGTGGCAAGGTTTGTGACCCCACCATATCAGGAGGGAGCATACCCGGTCGCACCTGAGGACCTTTGTGGAAGGGCAGAGGCGGAGACTGTCCCGGGAAGCCAGACGACGGGTCGTACAGTCGCGAACCTCCGTCCTGGAACGCTAGCTCCGTGCTGGGGTTGTACATGGGCGGCGCAGGTGGCATAGGTGCACCCATGAAGCCGTTCATGCCACCACCAATACCCGCAGGCAGCGTCATGGACGTGACGTTGTTACCGTCATCCATGCCGTCGTTGCGGTCGCGGTTAATGAGGTTCTCGAAGTACGCGGCGTTGGCTTGGATCTTGGACATGTCATTGTTGGGACCAGGAACACCGAAGGCGTTTGCATTGACGTTCGGGTCGTCGTTCTCCACCTTGATGCCCATTAGACGAGCATATTCCTCCATGGCATCACCTTGTTGGGGTTGATCCATAGGGTTCAAGCCAGGCACGTAGACGCCGGGGAACACAGCTTGCGGATCGGCGTTCATACCCTGCATACCCGGATGTGGAGGCATGCGCTGTCCCTGCTGGTGACCGTACTGCGCCGCCAGATTAGCGTTGAGCATCGAGTCATCGTGCATCATATCCACATCATTGTCAGTGGGCGTGAAATCCATTGCGCAGTCTGTTGAAAGAGAATTTGGATGGCTAGAAGTGCGTCTACGGCGTAGATTCTCCTATGGGTCGGCAGGTGGTCCCTCCCCTCCTGATGGTCTGCAAGTAGCGAGCCCTGCAACTCGACGAGGCGGGAACGCGTGCACGATTGCGAGGATGAGAGTGCTAGATAGAAGTAGCGATAAGAATGCACCGTGTTGGACGCAATAATTTGAAGTTAAAGTAATGTGCATCACACGATATTAGGAGTGTTTTCGGATCCTTTTGTCCAAATATAAGGAAAATAAATGTATTTTCGGGTATTAGTGTTGATTACGGTATGCTCTGGTATTTCAGGGAAATAAATATTTTGGAGAATATCTGAAATCAGACCCGGATCGCAAAAGTAGTGCTATGAAGTAGACGCACGGATTGGTGACCACTGCAACTCGACGCCGCGAACGAGAATGGACAAATCCACCACCGAAGGTTCAGAGTGTCGCTGGCTTCGGGCTGCGTGGCCATTATACAATCGAAACAAAATACTTCGAAGTGCACGTAGAGTATGTGCGATGCGACCTTTCCCTGCAGCCTTTTACCGTAAGGGAAAGGCGACGGAGAAAGAGTACTGCTACCGAAATGCAGTAAGTACAAAGTAGCCTCGTCACACATTGCACCTCAATACTTCGGTTTCATACACTGCGAAAGCACCGGCCAAGGACGCTAACATATTTGTGCGTTTAAAGAGTTCTACGGGGTCATTTGAATAAGATTGTTGGCCACATAGCATTGCTCATTTCTTTCCAGTGTTGGGCTCGGGTGGAGGCCAGTGACGCTCTGAAGGTTCAGACAGAACTTCATATTGCTGCACACTTTGGCACTACTTCACGGAAACGTCGTTTGGACTAAGGTATTCCGTACGTCCTGCTCATCTGTTGGTGTATCTGGGGGGGGGCAAGACATGTTCCTCATCCCCATCGTAACCATTGACGAGCTCTTCTTACTGGGACTTGCATTTCGAATTATTCGCGATACATGTACAGTACTGCACCCCGTTTTCGCGGAGGTGGACCTTATAGATTTTACAAATAAATTAGGTTTTAGCATACAGACTTTCCTTTATTTGAATTTACTATCATCACATACGGAAGTTTATTAAAGGTCCTAGGGCGCGAAAACGGGGTGCAGTACTGTATTACTTTGAAGAAATATTGGTATTATAATTTTACCAAAATTATTCATTGTTGCACGTGAGAGCAATTGTTGGCCTTCTTGAGTCGACCGACTGATCGCTGCATCCTCCCATTCACCTGCGCGTAACAAGAGAAATTGACCGATTCGCAGCGGTAACCTGATGAGCTGATCCAACAACGGAGCGAAATTACAAACTTTTTATCTCACACTATTTGAAACAGAATCTAAATAAATTGTCACCCGATGATAGCTGTCTGCGCACCGGTAAAATGCAAGCAGTGTTGTTTGCTAAGCAATTACAGTGAAAAGTCTTCGAGGAGATTTATACTAGTGACAGCGCCTTGATGAATGCAGCTCTAGATAGTAGGTCAGCGACGCTATCTGTTGACTTTGGACGCGTGTTGTTGGGTGGGATCTTTTCGTCTATGATGAACGAGCGCGCGTGGGCAACCGATATCGTTATCACCGCTGCCAAGACCCATCAATAGCTTAGACACCTCCCAGAATGTCACCGTCTGCGCCTTCACTCCGAAGGTACTTTCCGAGTTCTGGACGTGGCACGTATTTCCACGGCCATTGATGGTCTTCGCTGCTATGTTGTTTGTAAGTAGTCCGTCGCTCTTTGCGCGGTTAAAGAGGCCCTCAGCGAGCGTTTCGCTAGCCAACATTGGGCCGTGGCCATAGTAGGCGTCTGTGTTGGCAAGCGATCCGTCGTGCTCGATGTTGTTGTGGATACTGAGGTAGTCCAAATTGGCACCATGGATGCAATTTGGGATTTATCTGGACTTGTTTGAGGTGGGGCAAGTTGCGGAATGAACTGAGATCCAACGGGTAGAAATAAAATTGTTAACCAAGTAATTTATTCATTTTTTTTTTTCGTAGTAAATACATTAATAGTGGTAATAATAATGGAATGGCTTTAAATTTAGAACCTGATGTTGTTGGTGTTGTTGTTCGTGGGAAAGATGAACGGTGTAGTACTGTGATCAAAACGCTCGTTCCCCGACCAGGCCCTAACAACACAATATTCGCCCCACACTTGGCAGATTGGGAGTTGCTGGAGCTCCACACTTAATGGACTCCGCTAGAAATAAAAATGTCAGCCAAGTATCTAACGGGCGAGTGTGTAAGGGGGTACGTAGCCCTAGGTGTACCCTGGTTACATGAACTGTGACACTTCACACTTCAGGTATATGACACGTCATACTCCGGGATATTTGGTACAAGGTACCAAGGTCGTTCAAAGCTAACCATTGGTCAAACGACATTGCATTTCTATAGGTAACTTATAGTTTGTATTAAACCCAAACTTAACCTACCTATAAATATACTCAGTTTACTGTACATCCGGACGTTTTGTTCATCCGGACACACCCTCTGACCAATCACAGCAATGTATCCATCACACTGAAGTGCATTTGTTCAACCGGACAGACTTATTTTTACCCAACCCATCGTAACGGATAGTGCGATTTTAGCACAGAAAAGCGTCTTGTCGGGCACTCACAGCGAGTTTTTCCAGCATGGCACGAGGGCGGAAGCGAGCACCTGCCAGCAGCGGACGCCGTGACAATGGTCATACACGTGACTGTGAAAGTTTTAGTAAAAAGCTCGACATAATAAACTACGTTCGAGATCACGGCATGCCTGCTACTCTAAATAAGTTCTATAGCCATCTCACCAAGCCCAAACGAGAGTCGAAGAGGAAGAGAATTTACGACTGGATCAAGGATAGAGAGAAAATAGAGTCCAAGGCATCTTCCTCGGCTACAGCGCACCTCAAAGCTGACAGAAAGAAGGGCACTGCAACGACTCTATCGGCGATTGCGGAAGAAGGCTTAGTCGAGTGGGTTAATACTCTACGTGGTGAGGGCGTACCGATATCCCGGTTGATGTTGCAGCTTCAGGCTGTAGATATCGCACACACTGAAGGTATTCCTGAGGGCGTATTTGAGGGTAGCTGGTGCTGGCAGCAAGGTTTTTTGTCGCGGCATGGATTATCTCTACGTGCTAAAACTCGCCAAGGACAGAAATCACCAGAAGCCATGGAAGAAGCTGCAGGAGCATTTTGGTGTGAAGTTGAACGAACCAAGTTGGAACTTGGAGTTGACAAGATATACAATGCAGACCAAAGTGGGATCTGTTTTGAATATCTGCCCAAACAGACGATCAATAAAAAGGGGCAAAAACGGTATGGGTTCGCTGCGGAGGAAAGGACAAGGATCGTTTAACAGGAATGTTTCTTGCAGACTCAACAGGTAAGCAATATGATTCATTCTACGTTGTTAAAACAGACCCATCGAAAATCCCCGAGAGAGGTGCCTACAACTATGTAGCTCAACACGGTTTCGGTGATACATTATGGCGCCAAATGAAGAGTATCCAGACTGATCTTCAAGTTCAAATCTATGGTAACAGTTCCGCTTGGTGGAATTCGGATTTGTCTGTCGCATTTTTAGACTACCATTTTGCCGATAGAGACGAGGCATCTCCAGTTCTCCTGCTTTGGGACGATTTCTCAGCACACTGGACAAAGGAAGCAGCACAGCACGCTGAAATTTTGAACATTCACTTAGTGAAGGTGCCACCAGGCTTGACATCTGTGTGTCAACCGGCAGATATCTCTTGGTTTCGACCACTCAAGCAGCGTTTGAGAAAGCGTTGGGTGGATTACATTGCGCAGCAACTGCGTACGTATTCGTCAAGCGAGTCTAGCGCTAAGTTTGTGCTCTCACCTCCGTCTAGAAACGATGCTATTCATTGGGCTACGACAGCGTGACGTGAGTTAGGTACACAGGTTATCAGAAGTGGATTTAAGCGTCAAATGGCTGAGCCAGCGGCTGACGTCCCTCAGAACATCGTAATTCAACAGTTAGAGCGTCTTCACGCGGTTGAAGAGACCGTCAGCGACGCGGATGATGTCGTTCAGCATTTTCTTGACGGGCAAGAGCAGTAATGAACCAAGCAGAAAGATTTGCACTTTGTATACGAGAAAAAAATTCTCTTTTTCTGACACGGTTTTTTGTTTGTATATAATTTTGGGGTGTCCGGATGTACACATGGTCTACAGTACAATCTACCTTATTTAGGTCACTTCGCTCTCTTTAAATAAACAGGGGACCTGTGAACTGCCGTCCACTGAGAGTTTGTATACTCTCGGAAGATAACTTCCTCTAGCGCAAGGTGCTGTGTGACCCCGTCACACTTGGTAGCACTTGTAGTCAATCCACGCCACCGCGGGTAGACTACCTGAACCTCTCCGAAGTTCGTTGCCATGGATAGGAACGACTCTCAGTTTGAGTCGGTTCGGAAGATGGCAGGCATCTTCGGGATGGAAGCCCTGCAGAGCCTGGTGGTGTCAACACCGGCTGAGCAGCATGAGCGCGTCAATGCGTTCGACACGTACGAGCAGGGCCTCATCGCGCATGTGCGGGAGAGCCTGCAGGCTCCGGCGGCGGAAGCAAATCCGCCTCACCAGAAGCCAATACGGATGAAGGTTAAGCCGTATGAAGGGAAGGAAGGCGAGAGCCTTCACTTCGGGGTCCGAGAAGTAGAGCTCGCGTTGGACGCGGCTCTGATCTCGACCGAGCAACTGCGTGTTGCTTTTGCACTCTCCAACCTTAGCGGCCGTGCTAAGAGTTGGGTGTACACACAGGAAGCAGCATCCCCTGGATGTTTCACATCCTGGGCTCAGCTGTGCGAGCGGCTCCGAGCCGCGTTCCTCCCGGCCAACTACGAGTACCGCCAGCGTTCGCGCCTCCTCGCGTGTAAACAAGGGAGGCACGAGCTGCACGAGTATGTGCAAGAGATACGGGAGCTCACGGCGTCCCTAGTGGGAAACCCACTCAACGAACACATCAAGATGACTGTGTTCATGGACGGCCTTCGAGTGGGCCCCGCACGCACTCAGCTGTTCCGGGTGCAGCCAAGCACCCTTGAAGAGGCG